TCTCGAAGCTTCCCTGAGGCCGGCGATCCATCCCGAGTCGTGCTTGGCCACGGCCCCAAGGGGGCCGCGGGACGGGCCCCTGGGGCCGAGCACGTCCACAAGCTGTCCGCTGCGATTTGTCCACTGCGCTTCTCGAAGGAATCTGACGGCCCCCCTTACCCCTGCCTTCCTCGTCCTCCTTCCCTGCCTTACCTCAGGTCCTTAGGTCGGGCACGTCCTTCTACAAGGGCAACTTGAAGAACAGCCCAAGAGAAGCAGAATGGTCCAACAAGAAAGTCGAGAAAACGTCTCCGGACGACTCGCTTCACAAGTCTGCAATGTCCCTGCTGTAGAAGGACATGCCCGACTGAAGCCTTTTCCCCCGCCCTCGTCGTCCTTCCTCGTCCTCGCCCCCCTCGTCCTCCCCGCTCCTCGTCCTCGTCCTCGCCCCCCTGGCCTCCCGTGGCGGCGCTGGCGGCTCCCCCGGCCGGCCCCCCCCAAGCCCGCTCGAGAGGTCGGTGCCCGTGCCCCCCCCCCCCCCGGGGAGCCGACCCTCCTCCGTGCCCCGAGGCGCGCCCAGCGCGTGGCGTCGAGAGGAGGCAAGGCGAGTATACATTATCTCCTTTTGAATCGGAAATACGACGCGGCAGTCCAGACATCACTCTCGACAGTAAGCGACGGTAACACTTGAGTGCAAGCGCGAGTTCCCCCACGACTACTGGCTTAGACTCACCAAAAAAGGACCACGCGTCTTACACCACTACTCCAAGATGATCAGGGCTGTAGGACAAGGCGGCTACTTAAGACGAGGAGCCTGCCCAGAGGCCCTCGCGAACAGGAACAATAACAAAAGATGAGACCCGTCGGTCGGAAGAAGCAGGTAGAATTAGGTCGGGCATGTCCCCCTACGGACGGATTTGGGGCGAAACGTCAAAAAATACCCCACAATGGTCAGACAATAATCCAAAAATCCTACCCCGAATAGTTGCAAACTATTTTTCAATACAGTCGGGGCGTTGACCTAAGGAACCCTAAATAAGGAACGGGGTCCCTTTCTCCCATATGTTGAACTTCGATTTCCCATGGAAAACCTCAGGAAAACAGAAGGCAAACTGTAGAACAACCAAGGAACACCGAGCCCCTTCCCAACGAAAAGGTTTCCTTCTGCAGGGCCCTGGCTGTATTCCTCCTGTAGAGGGACGGGCCTGACTTCAAGGCAGAAGCATGAAGCAGGAGGGCGCTGAGAGCAGGCTGCGTGCCCGCCCGCCCCCCCATAGAGGAGGGGAGAGGTGCAGCCACTCGACCATGGAGGCAGGACGGGCGCTCGCATTTATTAGAAAACTGCACATCTCGAAACACTTTTAGCCAACTGTACATACGAGCGACCTTTCCTCCGATGCTTCTGTGCAGTGCCATTTCGGCTGAAGAGCCCCTGGAGGGCGAAAGCTACCTGCGCTTGGCACACAAAACACATCAGCATCCGAGCAGGCTTGATAGTCCTTTCGATCGGGAGAAGTAGAGTGGAACCTGGGACTCCACAGAATTGCCTACTTTCAACGACCGATGGGCACAGTGAACCCGCATCGTGAGGATGGGCAGCCTTCCCAAGGGTACCCTCGCATCCTTGAACCTTCGGCTCGTCCTTGGCGACTCTCGCCGGCCGCGCCCCGCTCGCAAAAAAGCCGACATGGCCTTCCGAGGCCCTCGCATCCTCGCCGCGCATCCCTGTGTTACGGGCGGACTTCAAAACCGTGCAGAAGCCCACCAGCAACAGAGACAACGCCAGGGATGGCCGCCGCTGTCTCGACGAGGCACTCCTCCGTCTCGTGTGCCCCCCCCCCCTGCGGGCCTGATGGGCACGAAGTGCGACGCGGCCTGCGCGCCGTCCTCTCAGGGGCAACGTCAGCGGGGACCGGCCCAGGGAGGGGAAGCATCGACCTGGAATCGGCGACACATCGTCGACAAACCTTCTGGGTCACCTAGCTTCGCGCACCGCGGCCCGCGATGCGCGACGCGCGGTCATCTTCGAGTCTCCGCGAGGCCACCTGGGCGCAGGGCAGACCTCCAGCCTGGGCCGCGACGCGCGAAGCGCAATCATCTTCTCGCCCAAGAGGGTGCCCTGGGCCACCGCTGGTGCATCCGCAAGCTCCTGGGCGGGGTGGACTATCGGGCACCTATCGGCGCTGCATGGGCGATCGGGCGTCCATGCAATACCCCCTGAGCCTATCCTGAGGAGGCCAACTGATACCGATACCGCCACGCCCTGGACCTCTCCCAAGGAGCTTCCTGACCAGAACTTCGAGTCGAGTCCAGCCGTGGCGACGAGGGCTTCCCGGGAGGCCTGAACAGGCGACAACGAGGTAAGGGTAGCACATTGGTACCTTTTCGTCCTCCGGTATCCTCCCCCTGAGCCATTCCCCCCCCAAAGAAGCCGATAATTTGTATCATTTGCGATAACGCCCGTGACCGACTCCGCCCCCCCCCCTCCCCCCCCCTCCCCTCCCCATCCCCTCCCTCCCTGCTCACGTCACGATTCGCGCCAGCGTCGTCTGGGCATGAGCCATTCTGCAGCGTTCCCAGACGGCGCCAGGAATGGCGACGTGACCAGCCCCCTCCCCACCCCCCCTGCCCCCCCCGGGGTCACGCCCGCTGTCGCCAGGGAGAGCGCTCCCTCGCGTTGCCCCTGGGTGTCCTCCAGCGCCCCCAGCTCGCGCGCCTTCTCGAGCGCCTGGGCCCGGATCGCGTGGTCCTCGCCCGGGTGGGTCCCCAGGCACTCGGCGGTCAGCCTCGTCGCCGGGGCCGAGCGCCCCACGGCGCGCCCCGCCCCCCTCTGCGGCCCTCGGCCAGCCTTCGGCCCGCCTCCTGCCCCGACGCCGTGCTCATCGCTCGCAGCGCGGCACCCCTACAGGGCAGGTTTGAATACATGGGATTTTTATATATATATATATATATATGAATTGTTATACATGATTAAGTTATGAATGAAAGTATGCATGAACTCATCGTTGTTTTTAATACCAAATCCCTGCAAATTCAATACATGATCCGCACGCGGAGCATGTATTAAAAACGGCACTGTATGGAGGTGTCGGCCCAGTCTTCGGGAGCCAGCCCGCCAGCCCGCCAGCCGTCTTTCCGTGGACGGCCCCCAGAGGGGCCCGGTGCGGCCCCCCCATGGGGCCCGAAGATCGCCGAGGACCTTCTGCCGCGATGTTTGCCACAGCGCGAGGGGGGACGGGGGCCAGCCTCCCGTGATGAGCCAAAAAGGGGCCCCTAACCATTTGGGAGGGGACATAAGTCAGGAGGGCCGAAGCATGAGAGATAGAGGGCCTCTTTCTTTGCAGATGTGCCGAACCGAAGCGCACAGAAGTATGATCCCGGATGCGAAAACGGGGAGCTCAGTGGGACCACGTCGTCATCGTGTCCTTAGGGTTAGGGGTCCTTCTCCTCCTCCTCCTCCTCCTCCTCCTCCTCCTCCTCCAGCAGCAGCGGCAGAAGCAGCAGACGGAGGGCGCGTCCCGCACGGCAGCACACGCGGGCAGCGGCCACGCCGAGCGGGAGCTTTCGCCGAGCGCTCGCTGCCCAGCCCTCCGACGATGTGGCCTTTCCCATCTGGGCGTCTGCCCCTCCTTGGTGGCAACTCCTGGGAGCCTGCCACACCATCTTGTCGGCTCTTGCGAATCGACGCTCATCGACGCCAAGTCGACGCTAATCGACGCTACATGGGAGCGAATCGGCGCTAACCGACGCTCAAGCGGCGCTGTCTCACGACTCCCAGGGCGCGAATCGACGCTGAGGACAGAATCGACAGGGTACGCCAGGCTCCCATGATTTGCTACCCAATCCCTCCGTGCTTCGGCGACTAGAAGAAGAACGAACATAAACTTTTGGCGCTCCGCGCGGATTTCTCGGATCCGCGCTGTGCCCCCCTCCCTGGCGCGGGGAGCGCGCCAGGGGCGGCGCTGGAGGGGCCGCCAGGAGGCTCCCAGCGCGGATCCGAGAAATCCGCGCGGAGCGCCAAAAGCTTATGTTTCTGTGTGTTTTGTTCTTCTTCGATTCTTCGAGCGACACAGGGCACATGATTGAGCGAGCAGCGACATATGTACATGTACGCCCTCCGCGATCTCGAGTGCACGAACGTCCTCGTTCAATTGCCCTCCAGGGGAAGCTGACCGCGTACGTGTACATATGTTGCTGGCCTCTGAATGATGTTCAGAGGCCGAGGCGGAAGGAGAAAGGGCGCAGAGGACGCGGACCCAGACGGGCGGGCAAGCAGGCAAGGATGGCCATGCCTCCCCCATGAGTCTGAGTCCGGGGGCCGCCTGTCGAGCCACGGGGCCCTCAAAGAAAAAACGGCCCGCGGGCCGAGGAGCTCGTCTGGGAGAGGGGGGCCGAGAGCTCCGGGGGGCCGCGCGACCCGAAGAGGCGAGTCGTCGGAGGTCCGGGGAGGAGGGGCAGCATGGGGAATGAGAAACGGGGCTCTGGATAAGTTGCCATGATGACAACGCAGAGTCCCTAGCTGCAAGAGCGCATCCTGAGCATGGTCAGCCTCGGCCACGTATAGGTTTGTAGATGCCATGACGATGGAGAGTCTAACAGTCTTATCATCGGATGATTGATGTACTGTTAATGCGGTGTGAATGTTTGTTGGATGTCCTCCGTCCGCCGGAGGGCATTTCCGGGACACTTTAAGAACACTGAGAATACAGTCTCGAACACTCGGGAAAAATATTCAAACTAAATCTAAGATGTTGTTGTTTAACGTTAAAGGATGTTCTGGATGCGTTCGATCTCACATTCTAATCACATTAAAGATACGTTTCAGGTGGTTTCCGAAGGTTGTTTGAATGTTGTGAAATGACTTTGAATGTTGAAAACATGCACTTCTGATGCATTAAAACATTTTTTTTTTGTTTTTCTATTTCGGCGCCGGCAACATCTACGAGGCGCCAGAGAGGCACAGAACGTGCCAGCTAAATGCCAGGATGGGCAGAAAATGCAAGTAAAGCGCCAGAGAGGCTTAAAAACTAAAGAAACTGCCAAATCGGTGCCAGGACCGGCGGAAAATATAAGCGATATATCCGTCAACTCGAACCCGATATCGGAGAAGCATTGGCGAGCCCCGAGAGGTCCTCAACCAGCGACTGGCCGATGCGAGGCTGAAGCTAGCACCGAGCCTAGAAAGGTCCTCGAAGATGCCAGTCCAACAAATCAAGATGAACGCAAGAGTACCAAGGTACATAGTGGTGGCAGTGGTGGAAAATAGAGGCGCCAGTGCCGGAGCAGGACGCCTCACGGAGGGTGCGCGCCGAGCTCGGCGCCGCAGCAGAAGCCAGCCTCCCAGAGCAGGAACAACAGAGCCGACGCCCCCTCAGCGGCGCAGAGTCAGCCATCGCCGCTCGCCGGGCTGCTGGAATGCCCCCCTTCTTTCATGAGCTTATCCTTCGACGAGTACTCGGCGGGGAACGAGGCAATGCGAACAGGGCGGCAGCATTCGCAGCCCCGCGCCGAATCAGCGAAAAAGTTGGTCAGGTGTTGGTCCGCAGCGAAAGCGAAAACAACGATATAACCGATCATGCAAAATTGGAATGCCGCCTGGCCCCCTTAAAGCAGCTAGCCCTCTCCACCCGCCCCCCACCCACCCCTGATGCATTAAAACATGCACGGACAGATCATCCCCCGCGGAGGTGGACATCCAAAATACAGTTAACAAATATTGAACGCACACATGTGGAAAACATTGGGCAACACGCCTCCTCTCCATGGATCGGCTTCCACAAGAACAGGTTCCCTGGCCCAGATGGCAGGAACGACGGGACGGAACGGAGCGGTGCCCGCCCGAGTGTCCGCGCGAGGGGGCTCAGCGGGTCGGGGCAGGAGCGCCCACAAGCATGCAGTAGACTACAGTCGGCCTTGATTGGACAGGACACGCGAGAGGACACAAGACCCTTCCGAGGGCCACATCGCCATAGGACGGTAAGAAGGCACGTGTCGCGAGGCACAGGACACAAGGGTACCCTTGAGCTGGCAGGGTCGACCTACTAATCCGGGCCACCTGTGCAGGATGGAGAGACAGATGGCTAACATGTGTTCTTAGAATTTGCAAGACTATGCTCCAGCTCACTCCACGTTGGTGTCACGGCCAAGTCGGCCCAGGTATTTTGTGTCATCAGCAAGGCCCAAACGTATCTGCACATGCTGGCGTACTGAGCCCAACCAAACAACGTACTGAGCCCCAAGTGGTGCCGCCTTTCCGCGTGTTGACTGCAAGACGGAGCGGGCACCCGCTGGTATGCCCCTCTCAGTGTGACGCCCCCGTGCGCCGAAGAAGAACATCTGCACATCATATGAAGCCTCGGAGTCTGGAAGCTGGATTGGCTTGCCTCCAAAGGTCGGCGGCGAGCGAGGGGAGGAAATGAGAAGGGGAAGGCCTTCAAAGAAGGCGGCGGGGCTTTTCAGAAGCCCTCGCGCCTTCTGCGAAGCGTTTCCTGTCTTCGGGGAAGGCTTAGAAAACTTCCCAAAGGCCTGGGGCCGTCCCAACCCTCTGAGAAGGCCTTCTCCTTCTCACGTCCCCCCTCTCGCTCGCGGCCGAGCAGGGGCAGGTCCGAGCAGCAGCAAGAAGCCACGGGGGCGGCGCCGCGCGAGGACCCGCAGCACGAACATCGACTTCCAGAGGTTCGCGCGGAGCTCTTGGATCGGCGCAGGAGCGCGCAGGCGGCGCCAGACGGCGCTGCCGGGGGCGGCCAGCGCCGATCCAGGAAATCTGCGAGGACCTCCGAGAAACGGAGGGCCATGCCGATCCGGCTCCTCCGAGCGCAGAGCGCAGCCCGCCCTCCCCTCCGCGTGGCCCGCCCCGCGTGGCCGCCACGACGGCGGCCCCGGAGCCGCCGCGCACACCCAGAGGTACCCCGACGGGCAGTGGAGTCGGGCCACCTCGCTGGGCCGATTCTCATCTCCAGACCCACAGGGCCTGGCGAACTCGTTGAAGTCCAACGATGCGCTGCGGTCGGAGTCGTAGAAGTCGAATATGTACAGCGAGCGCTCGTAGCCGGTGAACGAGTTCAGGATGTGCACGGTGGAAGGATCCTGGAGGAACAAGAATATGCAATCACATCAAATGTTCGTAGGTCCAGGCGCAGTTCTTGCATCGGCGCTGGACCCCCCTCCCTGGCCTGCGGAGCGCGCCAGGGGCGGCGCTGGAGGCGCCGCCGGGGGGGCCCAGCGCCAACCCAAGAAGTCCGCGCGGAGCGCCCAAGGTTTATGTTTATAGCGTTTCTTCTTCGAGGTCCGCCGCGCAGCAGCCCAGGAAGAACTCCCCGAAGTCGAGCTTGTCGTCGTGGTTCCGGTCGATGGCGTGGAAGTACGACTCGTAGTGCTGCGCGCCAGCGCACTCGTAGTACTGCAGCATCGAGCAGAAGTTGTCCAGCGTGAGGAAGCCGTCGTCTTCATCGGGGCCATCGCAGCTGGGCGCCCTGGTGCAAAACTTCGAGAACTTCCGGCGAAGCTCGGCCTCCTCGGCCTCGAGCGGGCCGCACGGAGGGATGCGGCGTCAGGGGGAAGGGGCGCCCCCGCCCTTCGCGGCACACTGTCCTGGGAGGGGGGAGGGGGCGAAAAGGGAGGGAGACGCGAGCACCCGAAGGCCAACGCGGGCCAGAAGCGACAGAGCGACACGCGAAGCACGAGTTCCTGACCAGATACACATGTCTATACGTGCGTTAGCCAACGTGGGCCACAAGCAATGGTTCATGCAATATGTCTTGCGATGTGTAGAGCCAATTCCTGGTGCAACACGTGGTGCAATTCATGATGTGCACTCCGCGCTGCGCAGGATCTCTTGTACAATATATACGGCGCAGCCTTTGTGGCGCAACGAAATATGAAATAAACTTCGAGTTATCTACCCCACTGCTCGCGCAATCATCCTACTCACTCACCCGCAACATGCGGCGGCGATTGCGATGAGTATTTATTGTTGGCTGGTGCATATTTGCGGCCGCGCTAGCCCGTGCATGCTCGCGCGCACAGCGGCCAGCTAGTTTGGCGCGACCGACGAGGCCGCGGTGGCGCTGACCACTGGGCACGTTTCAGCGCGTCTCGCAGGCCCCGCTGACGCGCGGGCACTTCAGTGCGAGTCGGTGACTTGGGCGGGCGCGGTATCATGGCGACGTCGACAACAGTAGCCACGATGATGATAGTAGCAATGATGGTGACGATGATGACGATAACGACAGCAAGGCCACTGAGGGCGCCGATGCTGGTCACACCGATGACGATGATGGTGTCCCCGCGTCGGTGATGAAAGTTCTGTGAGGGTTCCGACATGCGCGTGCGGCCGACGCGCGCGAGTGGCGCGCATGGCATTGTTGGACAGGGACCGTGCCCCCACAGCAAGCGCGCAAAGGCGTTCGAATGATGTCGACATGCGCGCGCGAGAGGCCCGCGTGGTCGAATGTGACGAAAAAAGTTGAAACCCTATGGTGTTCAGTCTATATGGTGCATCATGTGGTCCAGTAGTACATATCGTGCGGTAAATGCTGTGCATATGTTGTGAGTCTATGTGGTGCAATCGACGTGGTGCAACATGTGTGGTGCAATATATGGTGTGCTATTCACTTGCCGAACTTGAAGTTGTCAACTCCACTGCTCGCGCAATCATCCCACCCACCCACCCGCAACTTGGTTTGCAAAATCTCTTAAGACCGTGGAGGTGGGTACCAAATGGCACTTGGCAACGACAGCGACGCCGACGACGACAGCGACAACGACGACACCGACGATGTCTCCAACGACTTCGACGACGCCGACAACGACGACGACGACGACGACGACGACGACGACGACGACGACACCGACGACGACGACGACGCCTACGCCGACGACGACGACGACGATGACAACGACGACGACGATGACGACGCCGACGACGACGACGACGACGACACCGACGGCGACGACGACGACGACGACGTCAACGACGCCGACGACGACGACGACGACGACGGCGGCGACGACGACGACGCCGACGTCGACGACGACGACGACGACGCCGACGCCGACGACGATGACGAAGACGACGACGACGACGTCGCCAACGCAGACGACGGCGAGGGAGGAGGGATGACGACGACGGCGACAACGACGACAACGACGACAACGACGAGGGAGGAGGGAGACGGCGACGACGCGAACGACGAAGAAGGAGGAAGGACGGCGACGCCAACGACGACTACGACGAGGGAGGAGGGAAGACGACGACGACGACGACGACAACGACGACGACGACGACGACGACGACGACGACGGCGACGAAATAGGAGGGACGACGACGAGACGCCGACGACGGACGACGACGACGACGACGACGACGAGGGAGGAGGAGCAAGGACGACTACGGCGACAACGACGACGGAAACGACCACGACGCCAAAGAGGACGACGACGACGAACACGAGGAACGACAGAGGACGACGTAGGCGCGACGCAAGAGCGCGCGCGCCCGCTTTTGTTGAAAATCCGTGCTGCGAAACCTTGTGGTTTTATATGTTTTTTGGACACACGATTTTGAAATCCTTCCGAAACCGATGGGTTTTGAATGATTTCGGCATACGCGCGCGACGACGCGCGCGTCTGCACTTCGTCCTATCTGTTGCAAAGGATTCTCGCGACGGCACACGCGCAAGGGCGTTCGACAGATTTCGACATGCGCGCGCGCGAGGCCCGTTTGGTAGCATTTTGTAAAAATCTTGAAAAACCTATGGTTTCCTTAAGATTTCGCAAGATCTCGCGCGTAAGTTTTTTTAGCACATCAGTGTTGCGAAACCCTGTGCTTTTGTATGTGTTGGGGGAAATCCTTCCAGCACCGAAGGTTTTTGAAGGATTTCGGCTTGCGCGCGCGACGACGCGCGCGTGTGCACTTCGTCCCATGGTTTGCAAGGAAGTCGTGAAAAAAGTGTTATGTTGGAACACAAAATGTCCCCGCATATCGTTTTTTTTTACCAGGGACCCTCAGGGGGGGGGGGGGGGCCCGGTTGGCCTGGGACATTGTGATTTCATATTTAGGATGGACATGTGGTCAGAATCATTTGTGATTTACGTCGGACGCGGGGGGAGTGTTAACGCGGGCGGGGTAGAGTCTATTCTGTTTTCAGAAAGGAGAATCTACGTAGTGTAGTACATACATACATATCTATATATATATATACATAAATATATATATATATATAGAGATCATGTTGCGCAACCTGTGTGGTGCAATATACGTGGTGCTATCTAACGGCGGCGACGAGCGGCGACGGTGGCGACAGGGCGGCGACGGCGGCTACATAGCCGCCAGAGCGGCAGGCAGGTCCAGACGACGGGCGGCGACGAGGCGGCGACGGGGCGGCGACGGGGCGGCGACGGCGGCTACATGGCCGCCAAGCCAGCACGCAGGCCCAAACAGTGGGCGGCGACGGGGCGGCGACGGGGCGGCGACGGCGGCTACAAAGCCACCAGACGGGCACGCAGGCCCAGGTCCTTAGAAAACAAATAGAAACCTTTAAAGGCAAGCACTTATGGGAGGAATAGACATACATATATGCATGCATGCATGCATACATACATACATGCATGCATATGCACATACATACTTACATGCACGCATGCATACCTACATACATATATGCACACCGATGTACGTACATACATACATACGTACCTGCATACATATATACGTATGTGCGTATATATATATATGCATATACATATACCTATAAATGTGCCGATGCACATACATATACATATACATATACAAATGCATATGCATACACATATACATGTACATAGACATGTACACATACATATACACGTACACAACAATGTGCATATACGTATGCATATACACATCCATGATTACAATGTACAGTAGTATATGCGTAATCAAGTAAGTATCCATACACAAACACATACATATGTATCAACCTACGCATAAGCGTATTTATATAAGCAAACACATAAACACATACGATTACATATCCGTAAAACTGTACACATATATTTGCATACGCATACATATACACATACCTATACATATACATACACCTATGCATATAAATATGCGCAAACACAAATATCATCGCGATAAGGCTTTCATTACCCTCACCTGATAGTGGGCCAATCATTATTTTCCAGGGGCTCATCGAGGGCTGACGACACCCAACAGTTGTCTCCGGCCGCTCCACGCAGGCCCGCTGTCCGAGGCACCTGCGGTGCCCTGGCCCGCTCTCCCGAGGGGGCGCAGGGTGGCGGATCAAGAAGCAGGTCGCCCGGGCAATGAACACAAGCCCTCCGCCGCTGCATCCAGAGGCTGTCGCTCTCCGCCACCATGCTGGAGCTACATACACCGCGCTCGACCTTTCTGAACGAGCTCGCAATCCACGAGGCGGGCGCAACCGCCGCCGCCTGTTGCGACTCGCTCTCAGATGATCCAGCCTCCCCTTCGAAGCCAGCTTTCACACGGCTTCGTCCAGGCGTCCACCATCGGATGGCCATGCTTCCCCATGCTGGCCAGCACGAGCTCCGTTGGCACCCCCGCAGATTTGCAAGCCGCCACGTACGGCGCGGTATTTTCCTCGTACGACGTGATGTCATCCTCGGTGCTCACCGCCGCGAACAGAGGGGGCGTTCGCCCGCTGACCTTCGGCACCGTGTTGGCCTCCGTGCCAGGGTAGCCGAAGCGCGCCTTCCACGGGTCCCACACCGGCGTCTCTACGTTGGTCGTGGGGTAGATCAGCATTTGAAAGTCTGGTCGCAGCGACCCGTCGAACGTAGTAGCCCCCCAGGACGCGAGGTGGCCACCAGCCGAGAAGCCCAGGACGCCAACCGGGCAGTGCCTCCCCTCGCCTGGGCCGAGCCCCTCGCGGATCAGCCACATCGCCTCCCGGCAGTCCTCCTCCTGGGCGGGCCAGAAGTGGCCCTCGCTACGGAGCCGATAGCGCAGCACGAAGGCGACCAGGCCGAGCTCGGCCAGCCACAGGGCCACTCGCAGGGGGAGCCCAAGGCTGCAGCTGTCGTAGTTGCCGCCAGGCAGGATGAGCACGGAGGCCCCCGCCATGCCTGCGGCCTCCCGACGGGCCACCATCTTGGGGTCGGGGTCGCACTGGATGAGCAAGGCTGGGTCTTCGCGCGGGTCCGCACACGGTCTCAGCGCCCGCACCACTGGCCGTAGCGGGGGGGCCCGATCCGCCGCGGAGATGGGCACGCGCTCGCGGAGCTTTGCCCCCTTCGGCCTGTCGCACGCAGGGCCCTTCCCACCCTTGCCCTTCAACCCCATCGAATCCACCCCCTCGACCCCCGCCGCCGCCCCAGTCGGGGCCGGCAGGGCGCTCCCCCCTCCCCCTTCGCTCTCCGCCGCCGCGGACGAGGGCGAGCACACGCCGCCGCCGCCCCGCCAGCCCTCGCTGCCCGAAACCGCCGCTGGGACCGGCAGGGCGACCGCCGGGCTGGGCTCCGACAGGCAGGCCGGCGGCACCGCGGCGCGCTGC